TTTTTTATAAGCATATCAATATTCTCATGTAACGGAAACTGGAAAGCTTTGAATAACTGGCAGTATTGATGAAGTGTTGGGAAATATTATTTTACTTGGTTTAATGTGTCAAAAAATTTTTTAAAAAGAAAAAAAAAACCTTAAGTTAATTTTGTGAATAAAAATGCAGGCCTTAAAGAAAAACCTGCTCCAAAGCCAACAGTGCCGCCAGAAGAGACAGACATGTACCCTTGGCTGGAAGATCAGGTTCTGGAGAGCACAGGTAAGCTTTCCTCTGATTCTGAACAGACGCACCTAGCTACATCCCAGGTACCCAAAGGTAGCAGCTTCCAGAGTCCTGTCTTATCCTTAATTTTGTTTCTCAATGATCACAGAATAATGAAATACTGGGTTAGCCAAAAAACTTGTTCCATTTTCCCATTAGATGTTACAGAAAAACCTGAACAAACTTGTGGGCCAACCCAATCCTTTTTCTTCTTGTCTTCTGAAATTTTATAGTGAACTCTCTATTTTTCTTTTTTTCTAGAAAAAATCCACACAGGATCATTTTAATTTTTGAGATTAAGAGTCCCAGACACAGAAGGCTTCTCGTTGTCTGAGATCATAGTTAGAAACATTGTGAACTAAGTGCTGTGTTTCTTGATTCCAAGTCCAGGATAACTGTGCCATATTATATTGAAAGTAAAATTAAACAGGTCTTGGACATTTAGTTTTGCCCTCTCTGTCACATTATTTAATGAAGTAGGTCGACTGGGCTCCCAGTCTTTTTAATATGAGTCTCCTGTCTACAATGAAAGACTTCCCAGGCCTCCTTGGGATCATCTGTGAAGCCTATTTTATATCTACATGAATTCACACATCAAGTATTCCCTCAGGCACTCAAGGGCCAGTGACCCATATGATAAAAACTCCTGAAATCTCTTAATAAATTGTTAAATGACGTCTGATTCCATTACTCTCATTTCCTATTGATGATCTGGTTTTTATTACGAAGTACTATTCCTGCACATTTTCTTCTACTCAGTGGTTCTAAAGATTTGGTTTCATTTTGCCACCTATTGGAAATGTTAGGTATGACACTGCATTTTTACCGGCGATTTAGCTACTGAATCCAGATGGTAGTTGCGTTGATTTTATCACTATATATTGGTGAATACTCTTTGGTTTACCTTCCTTCCTTTTAGTAAAGATCAAAATGTTGCTGTCAGTTTTTGTTGTTGTTCAGATAATCCCAGGAGAATTTTTCTCACATTCCTGTACAGTTGCCCTAATCATGCCCTGGCTTCGCAGTAAGGGTGATATTTTTTCCCTTTTTTTTTTTTTTTAAGAATTTAAATCCATATTTGAATTTAGCACCTCAAATTTTACTTTGCACTAAATTAATTTTTAAAAACCTTGTTTGTCAAAGCTGGTACTTACTCTGAAATGTACCATTTGCTTTCTGTCTTTCTTTTTTTATTCTTTGTTAGTATTACACTTTGCATATTACTGATAACCTGTCCCAAACTCCCAAACCCTGCAGTTTGTTATCAGCTCATATCCTTTTCAACTTCTTGGTGATATTTGCTTTGGTTTAAATGTTACCTTCCCAACCTTCCTCTTATTTGGGTCTCTACCTTCTGTCTTTTCTAACTACCTAGTCTATAAACAGAGATACATACCTCTCATTAAAAACACAATAAAAGGGCTGCCCTCCTTGATCTCTACTCATGGATTGAGGAACCTGGTGGGCTGCAGTTCATGGGGTCACAAAGAGTTGGACACAACTGAGTGACTAACAGTTAACTTTCACTTGATCCCTACACTTCTTTTCACCTGCCCTTCAGTCCCTCTTCTCACTGTACAAGCCACACTTTTGAAAGAAGGATTTGTAGTTGCTTTTTTGTCTTATTTTACACTTAGTCTTTAACTCATTTAGCCTGGCCTTTTTTTTTTTTTTTAACCTTTTAACTCTCCCAAGGGGAGAGAAGGTACATCCGAGGCTCATGGAAAGATGGAACAGGTGGTGTACTCACCAAGTTCAAAGCCAGTGCTGGTAGCAGGTGTGACTGGAGAGGCATGGGAAGGCTAGGTTGTGGAGGTCTTGTATTGCCTTCTGAGGTTTCAAGGAGCTTAGACTTTCATCTGTTCAGGCCGAGGGAGCCATTAAAGTGTTAACAGAGGAATGGAGTGCCAATCTTCACTTCTCTTTATTCACTATATTTTCCATGGTTGGTGCTGTCAGCAAGTTTAAAACTGGGAACTCAGCTGGGAAGCTCTCGTGGGCATTGTGTGAGGGCAGAGCAGAGATTGGCAGGCTCCGTTGGAATTCTATGAGAATAGGCATAAAAGTAGTTTGTGAGATGTAAGCATCTGTAAAACTAGAAGGCATTCTGTGTGCCTTAGAAACAGTTTTGTAGAATAATTAGCAAAATAGTCTTCTGCTTTTTTCCAGCCTGAAGTTCAAATTAACTTACTCTGTTTTTGTCATTGACGAGTACCTTCTCAGTGTAACTGATGTCCTCGGTGTTTATCTCATGTGATGGCATTCATGATACTAAGCCTGGTTCTAAGCCTATGATATTAAGCCTATGTTCACTGAACATAGGTGATGGCTGTTAGACAGAAGATTTGAGTAGTGTCAATGTGGTTGTAGCTTCTTGTTTGTTGTATGATGTTGCAATAAGCCTAAAAATATGATAAGCCCCACGGTGTAGTCGCAATGTCACTACTAGTGTTCACGTCTGGAGTTTAAATCTGTTTGAATCTATGGATGTGACTGTCAGATGAGGGTCTCCAAAGATTAGATGATTGTCTTCTAAGGTCTTCTACTCACACTTCCAAACACCTTCTGAGAGCAGGCAGCTAACCCGCACACCAGCCAAGGGGCCTTTTCTCCTGACTACTGGGGAAGACAGTGGTTGACCATGTGCTTTAATGTATATTGACTTCATCTTCTGCATTTTATCTTTATTTCCCAGTACTTCCTTTTCTCAAAACTTTGCCCTTCCTATTTTCTTTATTCTATTATTAATGTGAACATTGTTAACTAGAAACCAAAATAATTTATTCTTTTTTTTTAAGAAAAATCTGAACCTGATTCATTTCTTTTTTGATATCTTATGGAGAAGTCTTTTAGCATTTATATCTGCTCTCAAAACCAACTTTAAATATCTACCATATGTGTCAACCTAAAGCAAAAGATTGAGCTGTTACGAAAAAGGAGCGTAGCTGATTAATCCAATATATTCATTTTAATGTGTATACATGGAGGTCATATTTCATGTTATGCTTTAATGTCTATATCTTTTCTACTTAGTAATGTTTTAATTATTTTAGGACCTCAGAATATTGAAGATGAAGTACACGAACAAGTTCAGTCACTTGATGAAACAGTATACTCAGAACATGGTATGAATTAAAATATGTTTCTTGTGTTACTAAAATGATGGTTAACTACATAAAATGACTTGAATATTATTTTAAAATTCAAGTATTAATTGAGTGGGCTTTTAAAAATTATTAGAGGACAAGTGTTTTTAAAATAACACCATGCTAGTTTTATTTTGCCCCATTTTATTGTGAAGAGAATAAACAAGCGGAGACCAGTGATAGCATGACCAATGATACATCAAGAACAAATAACATTAGCAACAGGAGGAGGGAAATAGAAGAGCAACAGACAAACTATAATAGGCTCTCTGGGGACTGTTTTCAACCCTCAAAATTATACTGACTGCTTGGGTGGCCACTAGAGCAAAAAGAAACTTTTAATTACATAGATCATATTGCTAGAGAAGACAGGAACATGCTGTTTACTTAGAGACTGTAAAGCAATTCCCTAGCTCTTACATCTAAAAAGTTTAAGTTCTATATGTAGAATATTAAATGGTACTCTAGAAACTGGTGTTTTCAGATTTGCTAAGACTGTTTCTTGACTCATCCATTGATAAAAACAACCCCAAAAGGGTTTCCCAGGTGGCTCTAGTGGTAAAGAATCCACCTGCCAATGCAGGAGACTTAAGAGCTGCAGGTTTGATCCCTGGGTAGGAAAGACCCCTGGAGGAGTGCATGGCAACCCACTCCAGTATTCTTGCCTGGAGAACCCCACAGAGGAGCCTGGGGTTACAGTCCGTGGGCTCTCAAAGAGTCAGACACGACTGAAGCGACTTTGCACACCCGCACCACCCCAAAATTTAAGAGGAGGGTTTTGAAGAGAAGACACGGTGTCCTGATACTTCTGTTGGATTGGTGTGAGCTGAAGGTGGCCCTAAAGGAAAAAAATTATGTTTCTTAAAAACAAACAATTCCCCATCATTTAAATTGGGCTTCTGAAGGCCTGCTAAAGTATCTTAGTCCATCTTGGGTATTTTGGGGTTAAGTGTAAAGCATCCATCAAGCTCTGTCTGTGCTCCACTGGGGAGACCAGCTTTGGCTGAGTTTGAGGGTTTTGTCCTTGGCTAGTAGGGGTCTAGGAGCCTGTGTCCTTTTAGTACCATTTCTTCTAAGCCAGAAAGCTACTTCACCTGCCTGTGTGAGCAAACACAGGCTTTCCTTTCCTACATCTTTTTTTTTTTTTTTTAATTTCAACTTTAACCTAAGCCAAGGATGATGCAATCTCAGTACATGGTTGATTTCAATATGAGGTAAGTGCTGTGATGGTGAAATACATGATGCTGTGTGGGACTTACTCAGACTTCGGGGTCACCAGGGGCTTCCTGGAGGAAATGACATTTTGCTTTAGGAGCTGGAGGATGGTGCAATGCTTTGCCAGTCAAAGGTTGTTAGCAAAGTTTTAAGTAGAGGGCATGGCATGTCTGAAAGTCCAGGAACCAAAAAGATCTGAACGAAGGTGGAGAGATGAGGGGGAGGGATGTTTTTACTTGATGCTAAGAGGAGTTAAAAGCATTGGAGGGTGTGAAGGGGTGTTGTGTATTCTGTCTGCAGCGTGAAAAATGAGGTGGAGGAATTGTCAGAAGATGGGACAGGGAGTCTTGTACCGGGGATCTGAGTGAGTCGAGATGGTTGATCAAAGTAAATTTCAGCCAACATTGGGGGAGAAGGAAGTGGAGAGTGTGGTGGACATCTGGGTAGGTGGATGCAGGAAGCCAGACACTGGAGGAAGGAAGCCAGTCTAGCACCTGGATTCCTTGAATCTCTCCTTTGTCAAGACTTTCTCCTCAGAAAACCACAGACCGTGGCTTTAAATACTACTTCTGAATACATATCTGCAGCCCTGATCTGTCATCTAAGCTCCTGGATTTACCTAACTGAATAACTAACTGACTAGAGATAAGATAACTATTCATATCTCTATATGCATGTTATATGGATATCTCAGACTCAAAATGTTCCTAAAACTGAATTCTTGATTCCTCTCCATCTCACAGCTCCACTGAAAAAAAAGATTTATTCCAGTCTTTTATATTCTAGTTACTGGTCTCTTTATCCTTTCAGTTGCTGAAGTTAAATCCTGGGGGTTTTCCTTGATTTCTTTCTCCTCTTCCCCTCTCATGCATAATCCATCAGCAAGTCCCTTTACTTTGCCTCCAAAATGTATTCTGACTTCTGCAGCATCAGTACCGCCACCCCCTCTTCCATTCACTTGGGTCTTTGCTTCCATCTTTGCTCCTCTGCACCCAGTGTTTGATGTGGCCAAGCCTGCTATGGGCCTGGTCTCTCTCCCCTGATCACTTTTCTCGAGCCTAGTTGGCCTTCTCTCTTTTCTCTGTAATCGCCAGGCCTGTCTCTGCCCTAGGACCTTTGACTTGTTCTGTCTCCTGTTAGTATCTTTGTGTGTGTGTTCCAGTCATCACATCTTATCGGGCCACACTTGGGTCCTTGACACTGTCTCTAACGTAGACTCTCTGTCCCCATCCTTCTGTGTTTCATTGTCGCGTTCTGGTCCTGCAGTTAATTTTATTAGCTGTGTGGCTTTAGCACAGTTCCTCAAGCCCTTCATCCTTCAAGGTTGGATGACTGCTCCTTCATAGGCTTGGGGCGGCAGTTGCAGAGGGCATTGGCCGTGCCTCTGGTGAGGTCTCATGAGCCTTCAGGAGATAGTTTTCCTCATGGTGGGCTGTTCCTGGGTCGTGGAGATGTGCAGACAGTGTACGGTGCTTCTGCTGAAAACGGGCTTCTGTTGGATGGATGGCCGAGAGAGTTCAGTCCTGCCCACGTAAAACCTGTAGAACTACACTGAATAAATAAGTAAATAAGGAACATGACTAGAAGAAAAAAAGAGTCGTACAGTTAGTGACAGGAAAAATTGATTGGTGTGCTGAGAAGCAGGAAATCTGAAGTGAGAAACAAGATAGGAAGCTGTGATGAGAAGACTGAAAACAAACAGTGTCAACATAAAAGGGCCTCATGGCCCAGTTAACACCTGAGAGCATCACTGGGCCACACCAGGTGACTGAGTGAAGTGACTAAGAACTCATCAAGTAGAGGGACCAAGAACGCCGCCCTGCAGTGTGAGGAGAAAGGTCAGTAGCCGTAGAAATTGTATTATTGTTACCACTGTGGTGACAATGACGGTAAAAATATTAACAGCAACTTCACAGCAACAAAAAATTTACTTATAGTGAAAGTGAAAGTCATTCAGTTATATCAGACTCTTTGCAACCCCATGGACTATATAGTCCATGGAATTCTCCAGGCCAGAATACTGGAGAGAGTAGCCTTTCCCTTCTCCAGGGGATCTTCCCAGCCAGGGGTCGAACCCATGTCTCCCACATTGCAGGCATTTTCTTTACCAGCGGAGCCACCAGAGAAGCCCAAGAATACTGGAGTGGACAGCCCATCCCTCCTCCAGCAGATCTTCCCCAATCCAGGAATCGAACCCAGGTCTCCTGGTTTGTAGGCAGATTCTTTACCAACTGAGCTATCAGGGAAGCCCTTACTTACTATGGGCCAGGCATTTTTCTAAGCCCTTCAGTCCTGGTAACAATGCTATGAGTAGGTACTCATATTATTCCTTTTTTCAGAAGAGAAATCTTAGGCCCAAAGTAGTTAAGGAACTGGCCCAGGGTCACACACAGCTGGTATAGGTGGTCCTAGATGGTCTGATTCCTAGAGCGGTACTGCACTGCACAGCGTTATCTGGCTCACTTGAGTTCTCTGGTTAGAATGATATATGTGAAACATCCTCTGCGTGAGGCCATGTCAAGTTACCAGTGGGAGGATGTCTGAGACCACAATGACCAGCGAACCCATGCTGCAGTGGAGTCACACAGCATGTCCAGCATCTACACAAGGGAAGAGAAATGGTTAACTATCATGCCAGTCTCACAACAGAAAGTGAGCATCTTGACATAACTTAAAGGCTAAACACAGGAACCTTTAGAAGCAAAGAATAATGCATCTGATTTAGTGCTGATGACCTCGCATATGGTTTAGCTGGTGGTTGGCTATTCTTCGCAATAGAACATTTACATAGAGTTGTCTAAAACTGTTACATGGAATTTTATGTCAATTCTCAACGCAAGTTCACAAGGTGACCTTTTCTCTGATCTAGCAATCATTGAAGAGGCAAATGTAGTAAGAATTCTGAATTTACTTATTCAGTTATTAAATATGGATTGAGAACTTCTCATGGCTAGTCATAACCCCAGGTGCTGGGCAGACAGAGCCACTGAAATAGATGAGGTCCCATCCTTAGTGAGTTTAAGTTCTAGTGAGAGAAGACCTGTTGCCCCCTCAGGTGAACTAGCCTTTGGCCAGAGAGAGGACAGAGCTTCAGCATGTACAGTGGCCCGGAGGAGGGGCAGGGTGTGCCCAGCAGCTGCAGAGGGTACGTGCAGCCTTGCAGATGGGCCGTTGGGGTTTGTGTTGGCTGCTGCCAGGGGCCCTTGGCGTAGACCTGTGTCACTTTGTTCATTATTGTTGTTCAAGGAGAGAACCTGCACCAAGAACCAGAAGGCCCAGCAGAAGAACTACAACCCGAAGACCATGTCTTTGTAGGAAGTGATGCAGATGACAGACACGAACCCATGGGAACTGGAGCCGTTCATGAAGGTAGAACGCTTTTGTTTTTGGTTTCTGAATAAAGCACAGTGAGTCGTTTGTAATTAGGATTGTTGAAGTTTTTTGAAACTAATATTTAACTTTTATCTAAAGTATTTTTTCTCTTTAACTTGAAGCTAAAAATTTCAATAAAATGAGTCTTTTCCCTAAAATAAATAAATGTCCCAATTTTAAAATTCAAAGCACAGTAGAAGGGATTCTGAGAATTTATGCATTTCTTATAGGATATAAGTGAAATCCTTCAGTACAATTACTGGACTATCCATCCTGGAATACCATTTGTTATAAGAAATTCAAGCAACTGATGAAATATTGACCTTAATAATCTACCAACGGTCTTATTCTAAAATGAACTCTGTGACTACAGTGGGTAGAATACAATTTGTAACCTAGGCATTGGCAAATCTTTTTTTGTAAATGTCCAGCTGGTCATTACTTTAGGCTTTGCAGACCATAAAACCTCTATCGCAACTTCTCAGTTCTGCTGCCATGGGGCAGAGGCAGCCCTGGACAATGCCCAGTTGAGTATGAGTGGCTGTGTTCCAGTGAAATTTTATTTGGAAAATCAGGAGGCAGGCCCAGTGTAGTCTACATATGGACCAGAATACATATTGACTGGTTATCAATATTTTAAATTAAATGCTGGCTATTTAAGTATCAGTTGAGTCATTTACTTTGTATTGTTTGCATTAGGCCAGTTAGAATGATAGCTATTCACTAATGACATATAGAAAACTTTTCATTCATATACTTATTGTTCTATTCTGTTTTAATATGAGGCTGCCATGGTTATTTAGAGCCCTGCTAAATTAAGTCCACATGCTTTGTTCTTTTGGGGTCTGTTCTCTGTACTCTTAAAGTAGTTCTTTGAGACATTAATGAACTCTTAAATGATTTTAAGCCACAAGTTTGTACTCTGCTTTTTGTTATTTGAAAATATACAAATTGTATATCATATTACACTTAAAATGAGTATGAAAGAAACATTGTTTTTTCAGAGAGATGTTTTATCTCTAAAGAGTGATGCAAGAGGGACTTCCCGGTGGTTCAGTGGTTAAGAATCCACCTGCCAATGCAGGAGGCACAGGTTCAATCCCTGGATTGGTAAGATCCCACATGCTCCAGACCAACTAAGCTCATGGGCCACAATTACTGATGCCTGCGCTCTGGAGCCCGAGAGCCGCAGCTGCAGAAGGCCACGTGCCCTAGAGTCTGTGCTCTACAACCAGAGAAGCTGCCGCAATGGGAAGTCCGTGCACCCCAACTAGAGAGTAGCCCCCACTCGCTGCAACTAGAGAGAGCCTGCACACAGCAACGAAGACCCCGTGCAGCCAAAAATTAAAAAAAGAGTGACACAAGAAAACAAGCCTATGCTGAAACCAGGTCGCAGGGTGGTTGATGACACCCAATAGGAAGCGAGCGGTTACACAACACACCCCACGCGCCATGTAGTAATCCTCAGCGTCTATAGCACTCGTGTAACAAGACAGCACCACTGGCCGCAGAGCGTCTAGGCTGGAGGTGCCCGGCAGGGTTCAAGGTTTGGCTCAGCCTAAGCTGAGTTAAGAGCAGTGGAGAACAGTGAGAAACAGGCAGTAGATCAGATCCACAGCTCTAGTAAAGGTAGGAGGGTCTGGAGCCATAGCGTCCTGGATTCAGAGAGAAAACCTCTTACGAACAAGATCCACTAAGATGGGTTGATGCCCCATTACACTGCTTCTGATCCTGGCTGCATTTCAGTGTCCCCTGTGGAGCCTTTAAAAGAATTCCAGTGGCCCACCCTGGTCAAAGTGGATTGAAGTATTTGGGATGTGGGGCCCCCAAGATTGGGGATTGTAAAAGCTCCTCGGGGATATGTAAGTGCTGCCAGGTTTGAGCACAGGTGTGGTTGGACTGTTTCCTGTCTCCTGGGCCTTACTTCTCATCCTGCTCTGCTGTGTCTGAATGGGTTAAGGCTTGAATGTCTGTGCTTGGAGCCAGTGGGAATCAGGCAGAGCTCGTGGGACTTGTCCAGGCCATGCAAGACCTGAATGAATAGGTAGCCTCCAGACAATGTCATGGGTAAATGGTTGCAGGGACTATTTTAAAACATAAACCTTATGAGGAATTAAGTAGATCTGCTTCTCATAATATTTAATATATTGGGAAACTACATGAGAAGCAAACAGCTCCTAATTTATGAATAAACGTATTTCCAAAAGTTCATGTTCATGCCTGTTGTTGAGAGCAGAAAGTATACTTTTCCATAGAAATAACATTGTAAGTGATGGTTTGATTTCCATACCAACCTACAGAATTGTATCTGATGCATAATTTGGGAGGGAATTTTAAGTTCAAAATGCTTTTCAACATGTGTATGATCTCACTTGTGTTGTGCATTGAAAATACACATATACAGACTAGCTTTTGAACTTTAGACCTTCTGATATCATAAACATGATGATTTCTATGGGGAAACATTTCTGAGTAGGAATGCTGATGAAATGATTTCATCATTTCCCAGGAATCTCTTGCTTCTTCCCATCTTTGGCCAGGATAGCTAAGGAAGATTGACGGTTGATATTCTAGATGATGCTTATACAACAAGTTTGATTTAAGACACTCAAATAATTGGAAACATAAGGAATTTGATATTTTTAAGGTTAGGAGTTATAGATCAAGAGTAGGCAGAAACACTTCTAAAAAATTCATAAATTGAAGAAACTTTATTTTCTGACCTAATTTTTAATTGGGACATAGATTCAGTTTGAACGTAAAAGTTGCTTGTTAAACGTCTTCAGAAATTAAAAATACTTACGTCCATATAGCTATTAAATTAACAGAGGTCATGTGAGTGGCAGCACTTGGCCGTCAGGGGTATGTAGATGAAGGCATCAACACATTGACCTTTCAGTTCCCCAAACATCTAAAGTCCCTCAGTTCTCCCTTTGTGTTTCCATATAGAGACTGTACTTTTGCTTCCGAAAATGGCAGGACATGTCTAGAAAATAGATCAGCACAGGGTGTTGTGATGTGGACACAGCCTTTGTCACTGTTGTGAGAACAGTCATGTCCAACTCTTTATGGCCCCATGGACTATAGTCTGCCAGGCTCCTCTGTCCATGGAATTTTCCAGGCAAGAATACTGGAACGGATTGCCATTTCCTATTTCAAAGGATCTTCCTGACCCAGAGATTGAACCGTCATCTCTTGCATTTCTTGCATTGGCAGGCAGATTCTTTACCACAGTCGCCACCTGGGAAGCCAAAGTCTTTACTCTGTCTAAATCACCCTCCCTTTTTAGCTCAAGTTACAGTATTTGTCACCTTTGTGGGGTTGTTAAGTGAATCATATAAGAAAAATATGTGAGGCATTTCTAAATGTAGTTCTAGTGAAAGCTATTTAGCAGACATTTGTTGATATTTTCATGTTTTGTTTTACCTATTTGCTTTCAAAATAAAGTCAATGCTAAACACTCATACAGAATATACATATACAAAATATATAAATATACCATTTATTAAGGTAGTAATCTTTATTTAATGTTATTATTTTCAGAAACTGAAGATAGCTACCATATAGAAGAGACAGGTAAGATTTTAATTTGGTACTATTCTTTTCTAAATAGAATTAATCTTTTCCTATAAAAGAGAGATAAAATGATTATTATTTATTAACTATTATACTTTATATCAAATATCACATAATATATAATAAATGATTATTATATGTTATACCACAATTATATATATGTATATTTGTATGTACACATATATATAGCTATGTGTGTACATATATAGATATGTGTATATATCTACATATAGATACATGTATATATGAATATAATTTTGTGCTTTTGAAGTCTATTTCCTGAAGATAAATTCCTAGTAGTGGAATTATTAAGTCAAAAGGTACTGTGGGAGTTTGGGATTAGCAGATAGAAACTGCTGTATATAGAATGGATGAACAGCAAGGTCCTGTTGTGTAGCTCAGGGGACTATATTTAATACCCTGTAATAAACCATAGTGGAAAAAATATATATAAGAATATATATTTTTATATATATATATACTGAATCACTTTGCTGTATAGCAGAAATTAACATAATATGGTGAACCTCAATGAAAAGAAAAAAAAATTTTAAGATGATAATTGAAAAAAAAGATGCTGTAGAATTGCATGTTTTATAGTCCTAAATTACCAAGTCAGTGAATGGTCAGAGTTGTGTCTTGTCTCATATCATGTGTCCCCAGAAGGTATGGCCACACTGGAGACGAATGTACCATCTTCCAGTAGGCCTGTGTTGGCCAGTTTTTCTCCCAGGGTCAGAATAGATCCCTCTTTCTGTGGGACTACGTCATATTGTTGGCTGGCATTTAGGACCTATGCCGTTTCAACAATAGGCATCTACAAACATGAGAATTGCATTGTGGTCTGGGGTGCGCCGGTGTTGAGTCCAAGTGAGGGGCTAGGAATGTAGGTCCCCACTCAGGCTCACTCAGGCAGGTGCCTGCTTGTGCCTGGGAGGAGGGTTCACTGCACTGCTCTGTGTCTCTGCCTCATTTTTTGTTCTGTGAATGTCACTGAATTTTCATTAACTAAATGAGAATATAGCTCCATGATTTTGTGGTTCAGTTACATTGATGATGGAAACTTTCTTATTTATCTTTGTATTTGGCATTTAGCACAAGTTAGTGCCTGTTGGTTTCATGAATGAAAGTTTGAGCATCATTTTGATTTGATTTCTGTCTACACTAGAAATTGTGCTTTTCCTGTTTTAAATATCAAATGTAATCCTTTTCTGAGACATATTTGTCATTTCCTAATTGTTTCCTAATTTACAGCTTCTCCAGCCTACAGTCAAGATGTGGAAGACGTGATATATGAGCAGGAAAATCCAGGTCTGTAATGGATGTTTCTGTTTCAGGCAGTGAGTGACCAAGGTCATTTCTACCCAGGGTTAATGATTCACTCTTATTCAAAATAGAGATCTCTTTATAATACTTGAGTCATTTTTGACTGCCAAGGTATTATACAAATTTCTGAATATAGTTTAATATTACATGGAGAAATGGGGGAAAAGGAGATGTTTTTCAGATCACTGTTGGGATTCTGTAAATAGAACACTGGCAAGAATATTTGGGAATGAATGAGGCAATGTGATATAGTGGAGCCAGATTTGGTGAAAATTCTAATTCTGCTCCTTCCTATCTTTGTGACTTGAGAGGAAATTATGGCCTGTTATTCAGCTTAAATTTTATTAAATAATGATGATAATATCTATCTTACACAATTGTGAGGATTAGATTTAATTTGTAAATATTTTAGAGTAGTGTCTAGCAATGTGCGTGTTTTTTCATGTTTGGCAAAGGCGTATGTTTTTCCTTTTTAGATTCCAGTGAACCAGTAGTAGTAGATGATGCTGAAAGAACGTACCAAGAAACAGGTACTTGATGAATGTTTTCATTAGATTTTAAACATTGCTTCTGGCTCTATGGTTGCAAATGCAACGCTTTTGATGGGTCAAAGAGCCTAATACAGGATTTTTTGCTTTGCATAGATTGTTCAAAAAGACTTTCAGGCTTTCATGTTTCATCTCATCTACCACTACCTCATAATAAAACAGGATATTAATTCCTAATGTTTCTTCTGCATGTCCTGCTTTATGCCAGTTTGAGAAATTTTTATGAAAATAATTTACCTGTCCTTTCCTATCATTGTTTTTGGGCAGAGGCCTTTCTCACTGATTGTGCGGTCATTAAATATTTAAAGGAGCAGAATTCTGTATTGGAGATTTAGTTGTGCTTTTTAGCTAAAATGACTAAAAAGTAATGACTCAAGTAATACTTATTTTGGTTTTATTCTCTTTTTTTGCAGATGATGTCACCTACCGAGACTATGATGAACAAGGTTTGAAAATGCTTCTTAACGTTAAGCTACCTACTTGTTTTTAAAATCTACTCAGAGGTTGACTGTAAAGTAAGGAGAGTGATACTTTTAGCTACAAATACCATAACTTAAAGCAGCCCAATCAATGGGTAGTTTTCAGAGTTTACTTCAGGAGATGGTTTATCCATTCCAGTGATTCTGCCATTGCTTTAGGAAGCGGTTACAAATTTTTCAGGAAAATTTAATCTCATTGCTTTATAGTTGTGGCTCTTTTTAAATTAAATATAAGTCCTGTGCTTGAAGGCTACTTTGAAGTGAAGTGGAGTGAAAGTTGCTCAGTCGTGTCTGACTCTTTGCAACCCCCTGAACTGTATCCATGGAATTTTCTATGTCAGAATACTGGAGTGGGTAACCTTTCCCTTCTCCAGAGGATCTTCCCAACCCAGGGATCGAACCCAAGTCTCCTGTATTGCAGATGGTTCTTTACCAGCTGAGCCACAAGGGAAGCCCAAGAATCCTGGAGTGGGTAGCCTTTCCCTTCTCCAGAGACTCTTTCTGACCCTGGAATCAAACCAGAGTCTCCTGCATTGCAGGATTGTTTACCAACTGAGCTATCAGGGAAGCAAAGACTACTTTAGTCAGAGTTTAACTACTCTAGTTGCTTCTGCAAATTAACTTCGTTAAATAAAGATGCCTGCTCTCCATGGAGAATGGTATGGAAGAACTCCATTCTGGACTTAAAGCAGCATAAAGAAAATAGTTCTGGCGTCAGATTCTGATTTAGGCAATTGCAGCTGCTCTTGTTGCCCCAGCACTTCCCGTGCTGTTTTCATTAAACTTCCTGAAGTAGGTTATAATTTTCACTTCTCCCCAGATGAGAGAAGTGGGTTCAGAGAATGTAAGTAATTTTGCATGCGTTCATTTGACTAAGAAATGATAGAGCCAACAGTGGATCCTTCTTATTTCAATATCTTCAAAGATGACTCCATAGAAGGAAAGAAGCCATTTGAGAATAACTTTGTGTAAAACAAGAAGGTTGAGGAGATGTGTAGGTCTTGAGTTGGATATGGAGGACTTCTATGTGCTGGATGATTTTAGGGCTTGGCGCTCAAATATGAATACTATGAAGTCTCTACTTTTAAAAAAAATCTTGAGGTCTCATGTTAGCTGGTGAATTTCAAGTGAAGAAAATTAGGAAGAGCTATGTGTAGGTCCAATATGCTAATTTATTAAACATGTCATTTTAAGATTTGAGCCTACCAACATCACCATCCACAGGTCCTAATGGGATGCGAAGGATGCCATCAGAAGAATCCTAGAGTCTAGGGGCTAATATTTTTTATAATAAATTAAATAACTTGGCCACTATGAATGCATTTAGGCTTTCTTTTCGATTTTGAATTTAAAGGAGAAAAGAGGAATTTGGAATTTAAAAATTGCATGCAGAGGTAGGATTTGAAATAGTGTTCTAATTTCTGCCAGTCATTACTGTGTTTTTCCAAATATGCTGGTAAGAACATGTTCCAAATGCAAGTTGCAGAATAGATCTAGAGAATTTTAAAATCAAATTTGAAAGAAGTATAAAATTAGATAAAATGCTAAATAAGATGTGAAAGTAAAGATATTTTCATAGGCAGAATATTATAATAAATATAATTTAAAATGTTAACAAGGTAAAAATATGACCTGAGGTGTCGGGAACCACGTCCACTGTTCTCATATGCCTGGTGGATGGAGTGCTTTTTCCTAAGACAAATAGGACTGGAAAACGGGCTTGGGGCCAGAAGGTCATGAGCAGTCTGTTCGAGCAGGTAGAGCCTGCCGAGCCATCCAAGGGGAGATACCAAATTAGCTGATGGATGGTATTTGGATCATAGAAGAGAAGTCTATTCCCAACTGAGTCTGAGAATCTTCTGAATATGCATCATGATTGAATCCAAAGACTTCAGTAGTTTAAGAGAGGGGAGAGAGCTAGATGAGAGGAGGCGCTATGGCTGCACTCTGATGAAAGGCAACGTTTAATGCCTGCTAAGAAAAAGGTGAAATGATGAAGATCGAGGAGAAAGGAGAGAATCAAAGGAGAGGATGGTTGCCCTGGAGTCCAAGGATGAGAGCATTTGTTAGGGAAGGAGCTGCCAGGAGATCTGGTTCAATAAAGGCAGGAAGTGTCCACTGGGTTAAACGAGGGCTCATGGGTAGTCTTAGAGGAGTCTTTTCAGGGATGTGGTCAGCGCTGGAAGACAAACTGGAGTGGGTTGAGGAGAGGAAGTGAGAAGACAGCATTCAAATGACTCTGAAGAAATTAGATTGTGAAATGGAGGAGAAAGAGGACAAGGACAATCTTAATGGAAGAGAATCTAAAATATATATATATATAATATATATACACTCGTAAACACACATATATATGTATAACTGAATGACTTTGCTATCCACCTGAACCATTGTAAATCACCTATACTTCAATAAAAAAGAAAAACATACAAAATAAATAAATGAATAAATAAAAATGACAGCAGCAACAAAAAGAAAGGGCTTGTTTGTTTTTCAGTTGATAGAAGAGCATGTTAAAATGGGACACAGTTGAGGGTGACAGAGTGAGCAAGTATTCACTGTTCCTTTGTCTCCCAAACACCACCAGCAGGATAGAAAAGCATTATTAAGAACTGTCCTTTACCCAAGCACTGGGAATAATATCTAAAAGATAGTAAATGCTCACTATCTTTCTTTATTAAATGATCAAGGGAAATACATTTGTAACTGTGCTAGGACTATAACACAGTTTGCTCTTAGGGTACGAGGACATTTGAGGCATTTTGGAAGATGGGAAAAGCAGGCATCAGGCTGACTAGGGAAGCTAAGAACTAGCCGGACACGAGGGGAGATGGTGGCAGAGACAAGAGCCTAAGCAGTGGAGCAGAGAGAGGTGAGCCCTGGGCTGTGGTTAAGGTAGTGGATTAAGACCTGCCCGCTGAACCCTCGTCTCGGGCGGGAGGCAGGGCCGTTTGCCCCAGGTGGAACATGTGAGCGTTGCTTACTCTGCGAAGTAGAGAATCTGCCAGGTCTGGGATCCAGAGTGAAGAGCGGACAGAGCTGTGGGTAACTCAGAACTTCCACTACAGTCACAGAGGATAAAAGAGAAATTCAGCACCACCCAGGGATTAACAAAGTATGGGATCCTGTTAATAAGTGATTGGGGAGGAACTTTAATTTCCCCCATTTTGCAAGAAGGAAGCATATATCATTGTTCCTCTGGCTAAAAGCGGCTACTCTGCAATTTGAATCTAGGCCTGTTTCACCCCAGAACCAAACTCTTCCCCACTGTACTCTGTAAACTGCCATTTACTAGTAATGGAGTCGCAGAGGTTCAAGGATAAACTAGACTTTGAACGGTATGGCCGCTCTTGTGTTTTAATGAGATGCTGGGCTAAAGGAGTATTTTTTTCTGTGTATTTTGTAGTGTATGAACCATTGCAAAATGAAGGGACAGAAAGTTCAGGTAAGGTATTGAGCTTCCTGCAAGTCAGCTCCCCTTGCGTTTGTTAAAACGAGCATAGCTTGTGGAACAAAGATAGATGTAGTCAGAAATACAAGACATTCTCAAGTCACTTAAGGAATTGGATCATGTTGATATATTTATCCTGTTTATGGTGCAAGGTTTATGTCAGCAGAGATAATGCCAACCTATTTTTAAAATCAGTTGATTTTTAAGTATTTATTTATTTTTTGACTGCACCAGGTCTTGGTTGCGGCATGCGGGATCTAGTTCCCTGACCAGGGATTGAACCCTGGGCCCCATTGTGCTGGGAGTGCAGACCCTTAGACACTGGACCACTAAGGACATCCCCAGCCCATTGATGTATTCTTTGGCTATAATTTAGAAATTAAAGTTGATATTCTAACGAATCTCTCTATACGAAACCCCAATCTAAAAAGAGTCAAATTTAGGTCTCCAAATGAATATATTAATTTAAAGAACTTGTGAAAGTGAGTTAATGTAAGATGTGCTTAATTTTTTTTTTTTAGATAATGCTGTAGACAATTCAAACACAATTTTAGAAGGTAAGTTAATTTTATAGAATCGGCTTACTTTTTATATTAAAGTTATATTCATTTCTTCAACCAGCATTTAGCACACACTTAACTATTTGCTGTCTTTCCAGTGCTCAGGGGCTCGGAGGATGAGAGTGAATAAGAGAGTTAGAATTCTGTTTTCACTGGGGGGCTGGCACTCTAGTGACCAATGAGATGATAAAGTAAAGATTATGAGAAAGGCAGTGATGGAGATGAAATCAGGATTGTATAGTAGAAAGTATCATATTAGGGTGAGGAGGGCTGCCCTAAGTAGGAGGAGGTGGTGTCATGAGAAGGAATTATCCATGGACAGAAGTGGGTTGAAAGTTGTGTCCTTTCAGTTGGAGAAAATATGTATGATGCTTCTTTTTCCTTTTATCTAAAATATTTCCAACTGTTTTGAGCATTCTTACAAGTAGAAGCAAATTAATGCAAGAAGAAAAATGATTAAAATAGCTGCATAAATATTTTGAGTTTTAGAAAACGCTGATAAAATACTCTCTTTTTGACCAAAGCCTGTTACACAAAATCTTAAACAAAACCGAAGATAACAATTTTATTTCTTGATAGTGTCTCAATTAAGGTACTTCCTGCCCACCGACTGTGTTGTTAGGGATGAAGATACTCACATGTGATGTAATTTTATAGATCAAATCAGATCAATATATCATTATACCATTGGGTGGTGAGGCTTACAGTTTCTTTAGTTGTAAGTCGGTTGATGTCTACAAAAAAAGACTAGATGTTATAATTCATATCCATATTTTTGGCTAGTTTTAGAATATGTTACCTTGAGCATTATTTTTCAAAAGCGAGTTTATTAAGGATAGTGATACATTTTAAAGATTCTATTTGAATTTAATTTTTTGTATTGTTAACAAGAAACAAGATGCTTTAAATATCTTTCAACAGCTTTCCTATCAAGTCTGATGCAAAATTGTGGTGAAAACTTGGGGTTTGGTTCATATCTCTTTCACCAGACAGTAAGTTTTGAGGTTAGTCAGTTAGGCAGATAATATTTTAAAGCCTGTGGTTCAGGCAGTTGAGAAATACACAAACTGTTACAAAGTTATAGCTCATTTTTCTTTATTGTGTTGGTACAAAAACCTAATGCTTTATGATAAATTGTGATCGAACCCCCAAAAGGTCTGTGAAAATAATCATTCCAGCTTAAAGATTTATAGTCTTTAAACACTGGACAGCAATCTGTAGTGGAGTGTTTTTTATTTATTTTATTATTTATTAATTATTTCAGAACTGCACATGCCTCCTGCAGAGGAACAGCAAGAAGTACCACCAGGTATGGCATTTCGTTACAAGTATTTCCTTTTTCTTTTTTGTTTAATTTAAAAGATGCTGTATGAAAAAAATTCTATGGAGAGTAGAATTCTTGAGAGAAGAGGATTAATTATACCTATCCTAAATTTAAAAGGAAAATTTTGTGTATTTAGGTCAGTTGAACCAAAGTAATGGGGAATATGCATTAGACAGAGTATGTATTGGTTGAGCTAGAATTTGAGGAGTGTTCATGATCAAAACACTGTATGATTTTTGCTATCATAGATGGTGATAGTAGTAGTAGCTAGGTTGTGGGTTTTTTCCCTTGTTTTGATTGACAGGCTATCTGGTGGAGGATGTGGAGTCAGAGTTGCCTTCAGGTGAAAATTGAACAGTGCATAAATTAGTGACATTGGTCCTCCCCCGCTGCCCTGCACTGCCCATCTTCCCTAAAAGCATCCTTGCACCCCACATGGTCCAGGCTATCTGGGACTTGTGAGTGAGTGCCCTGGAGTCCTTCCTGCCAGCCCACTGTGTTACATCCATCACCCTGCTTTTCCTTCCCTTCCCCAACATGTTCCTCTCATCATCATCAAGTTTAAAGAATGGGGACAGCATTTCAATCAAAGCCTGTGCTTTCAGATGGCTTTTAGAGAAGACATTAATTCTTCCTATAATCAGAAATGAACATATAAACCTCTTATTCTCTAAGTGGGAACAAATATTTTAAGTGAGGATTCTCTAGCATCTCTTTCTCAAATATATTTCCTCTTGTTTCTGTCTTTTATTTCCATTTATTTTTTGTTTCCATGTTACTTATTGGTTCCATTTTTACTCATATTTTTCATCTTATGCTTCATGTGAATTTTGTAGTGATGATGTGCATTAGAAGTATTGATTTTGGTGGAAATAATTGTGCCTGCCAAAATTTGTCAAAATACTCAATTTCAAGGGGAAAAAGCCTTTTCTAATCAAGGACTATTTTTATTTATACCGCAGCTCATATTTACTTATTTAATGGTTGGGTAGTTCTAAGTTTTGATAGTTGTACGTTGTACATTTATAGTATGTGTGAATACTGAAGGAACTGCGTTGTTGGCATTGTAACGTGAATGAGAAACAAAATCCATGGAGAAATTGATCTTTTACATGATAACTTCTGGGCGTCTGTGTGTATTTTGTGTTTAGGAAAGATGCACAGAGTCAGGAAGGTTGATGTTTCGTCCTGCATTTGTAATTTCCTCCGTGTTACTGAGCAGGACGTCACAGTGCACCTTGTATGCAACCTGCGAATGCAGAGCAGGTTACTGAATTTGCATTTTGATTACTCTCCACTCCTTTAAAGAAAGTTGTGTTATAAGTTTTCCTAAAAATAACGAGTGTCTACAACACCTTTTTCTGGTTATAGTTGATATTTTTTAATATCGACCTGACTTTAATGAAGGTATGAAATATTTTCTCACCAAAAAGCTCTGTGCTTCTGTTTTGGTGTTTTATAAATGAGCCCCCAAATTTCCTTAGAACATCATTATAAAATACTAAGGAGGTGGTTGCAGGGGTGAGGGGGCTGCAGGCTGGAATAAGGTGCTTTTTTTGATGAGGTATTTAACAGCTGAAGCAAATGAAAATGAAGATTTGATTCATATTCATCCTTTCTGGCACATAATGAGATCCCAGTGAATGGTGGCTGTGGCTGTTACTATTTACTAATTAATTAGGTTGATATTGGGGCTTCCCTGGTGGCTCAGCCAGTAAAGAATCTGCCTGCAATGCAGGAGACTGGGGTTTGATCCCTGGGTTGGGAAGATCCCCTGGAGAAGGGAAAGGCTACCCACTCCAGTGTTCTGGCCTGGAGAATTTCGTGCATTGAATAGCCCATGGGGTCGCAGAGTCAGACACGACTGAGCGACTTTCACTTTCACTTTTTTCACTTTAGGTTGATATTTGAGGTGGATCAAGAGAAGCTGAATTCTGACAGACCTGCTGCAAAAGTTGTCACTTGTCATTTGGTGTCATAAAAATTTGAGTGATGCACTGCACGCTATAGTTTGTCCTTTACCAAGGAGGATGTGAGGCGGAAAGTTAGCAATAGTTACCTGTAATGATTGTACTGGGTTTGCTTATTTCCTGTTATTTTCTTAATCTTACTTTATGTTGCATCGTTTAATTATTCAATCTTATGAAAGAATAATATTCATGAATTAGTTGCTGTTTTTTACAGTAAGGCGACTGCTTTTGCAATATTGTTGAATGACATATGTGATGCAGAAACTGTGGCAACAATTGTTGTGGGGCCCGTTTCCTTACTACCTTACTACCTTTAAAATTCTTTAATCAGTGGAAAACTCAGATTGAGGCTGTCTGCACAATGCTGGATATCAGTTCACTTTTTCCTGGCCCTCAGAATCCAGTTGATGATTACTATGCCTTCTCTGATCTTCTAAGACTAGGTTACACAGTCTTCATAGAGCAAATTAAATTTCATAATAATATTGTTGGGATAATCCCAGGGGGCAGGAATTGTCTTGATATTCCATTGTATCAAGCTGCCCACCAGGGGATGGAGAGTGCTGACTTTGGTTAAGCATCATGTGTGCCATGCACTTCTTGACACACACATGAATTAACTCCCTTAGTATTTCCAGTGGCCCAAGAGGGGAAATGCTCATATCTCCATTTTACAGATGAGAAAACTGAGGCATAGCAAGGCAGAGGAACCTGCCTGAAATCACAGAGCTAATAAATGCTAGAACTGAGTTTGATTCTTGTGTTCTGGCTCTAAGAGTTCACATTCTCAGCTTCAGTGCTCTAGAGGATTTCATAGAAATGAAGACGTAAAAACGGATGAGTTCTGAGAGCTGTTTTGGTGTGGTAGAGATGATGTATACTTAGGCATATTTGTCTTAATATGCATTAGCCTTTCACTTAAGACTCAGAAATGTTAGATTAATTATGATCATTGTGGAAAAGTAAGCTGTCCAATAGCTTAAATTTTTCCATCTTTTGTTTATATTTATAAATTCATAAGTGCTTTGCTGGCATCCTTTTGGAAAGGAAGTAAAAAGTCAATCTGAAAAACTGATCATGCTCGTGTTAGAAGTCAGTCATTTTTAATATCACATTTTAAAAAAAAATTGATTTTGGAACCTCTGCTCCCTTAATGGGTTTTCACCTTGTCCTCCAAGTCATATTTTCACTTGATATGACACAGCCTATTTCTGGCAATCTGACGGCGTAACTACACACAGCATGGGGACTTCCCTGGTGGTCCAGTGCTTAAGACTTCGCCTTCCAGTGCAGGGGGTGTGGTTTTGATACCTGGTTGGGGAGCTAAAATCTCACATACATCAGAGTCAAAAAACCAGAATATAAAACAAAAACAATATTGTAACAAAATTCAATGAAGTCTTTAAAAATGATCCACATAAAGAAAAAAATTTTTTTTAAAACTATACATAGCACAAATTGAATGACTTATGAACAGATCACTTAGGAAATTCACCAGCGTAATATTCCCTGCCATACATTTGACTAATTGGTTCCTTTAACAATTTTTCTGTCATGCTATGGAAAAGACCCTAATGCTGGAAAAGATGGAGGGCAGAAGGAGAAGGGGGCAGCAGAGGATGAAATGGTTGGATAGCAATACCGACTCAATGGATATGAGTTTGAGCAAATTCTGGGAGATGGTGAAGGACAGGGGAGCCTGACGTGCTGCAGTCCATGAGACCACAGTGAGTCGGACACAGCTGCATAACTGAACAACAACAATGCCAGGAAAAATGTTTATGTTACGTTTTGTGATGATAGCCATGCTATCTGGAATGAAGATGTGTGAACATCAATGTTTCTGGCTGAGTCTGCTGCTCTTTTCTCTCTGAAGATGGAGATGACATTTGTAACTCATCCATATTTGAATGTTCTCTCAGGGGGGCTGATTTCACTGTTGCCTCTGTCCAGAGCTAACACTCATGCCCCCCTTGTCATCAAGCATTTTCTAATCGGATCAATAAGACCCATAACCAGCTTTAGGCTGGCAGCTCTAGAGGTCTTAACTTATGGTAATAAGAGCCCAATATGCATATTATTGTTAGTGGTTTGATCTTGCATTTATTCAAGAAATATATATTAAACAGCTCCTGTGGTACAGGCTCAGGCCTTTCAGGTGACTCAGTGGGTAAAGAATCCATCTACCTATGACACAGAAGACTTAGGTTCAATCTCCTGGTTGGGAAGATCCCCTGGGGGAGGGCATGGCAACCCACTCCAGTATTCTTGCCTGGAGAATCTCCATGGACAGCGGAGTCTGGCAGGCTATAGTCCATAGGGTCACAAAAGAATTGGACATGACTGAAGCATGCACATCTGCATGCATTGTACAGCTCTGCCCAAAACACACAGTGAACGATGCAGTCCCTGTCTGGCATCCATTCACAGACCTGTGGGTGTGCCACTGAGGACAAGAGCCAATATGGCATCATTAACTTCTCAGAGTGATAGATAGACAGGCCAGCACCCAGGGGAGGGGGAACCAACCCAGCTATGGGGGCTGGGGAGCAGAGCAGGAGGTCATGCTGGAGCTGAGCCTGGAGGAGCTGCTCAAAGTGAAGGAGCCGGCATGTTGGGGGAGAGGGCACAAGTGCTTGAGGCACGGAGACCAAGGCGGTGTGCCATGTACCAGCTTAAGAAGACATAGTGGACAGGCAGGCAGCATTTCTCAAAAGGGCCCAAAAAGGAAGGTTGAAAAATTGAAAGGGGGCCCAAGGCCTCCCCGGGGAAAAGAAAAAAACCGCCCGCAAAGGAAGAAAACCAAAGTTTAATCCCTGGGTCGGGAAGATCCCCTGGAGAAAGGAATGACTACCCACTCCAGTGTTCTTGCCTGGAGAATTCCATGGATAGAGGAGCCTGGCGGGCTGCAGTCCATGGGGTTGCAAAGAGTCGGACATGACTGAGCAACTTTCACTAAGAATGCAAGCAAGAAAGCTGCTGGAAAACTTCAAGCATAGGAGTTGCATGATCTGA